TTATCACGTGTATACAAAGTAATTAAATTTTAAAATTTACCAATTGGGGTGATGCATAACATTTGGGAGCCACTGTAAAAAAGGAAAAAATATCTTTTTAAGTATTTGTTCATCTCAAAACTAAAATGCTTTCATTTAACAGAATTCTTGAAGTTGATTCCATAATGGATGTTCAAATGATATATGAAGAACCTGTGAAAATTTTTGTGATAAATACTTTGAATGAGATTTAATTAGATGCGTTTCAATATTGGCATGATGGATTAATTCATCCGATGTCACAAGAATTCCTATTAAAAATCAGGTGATTTTTTATCAAATGAAAAAAATGAAAAGATTCCGGAATAAAGATATCTATCTAGCATGGGATCTTATTTTACATAAGGGTTAAATTAACATGTATTTTGTAAGAAAGGTTTAAATTAAATACATAATTTAAGATGATCTCAAAAATCTCAGGTTTAATATTCGGATTTTCAATAAAGAACGAACCATTATCATCCTTTTTACACCAATCTTCTTTAAAAGCGGCATGAAAATAAGGACACACGGCACGTAAAATGTATATATGCGCTTTAAACAATCTTTAATTAGGTTCTTTTCCTACAATTAATTTCACATTATCATCTACTTCATTATCTATCAATTTCCCAAGTTTTTCCGAAAACTTGTGAATAATTTAATATCGTCCATTTCCGATTGCATGATAAAGCGGGTTACTGTTATGATGCGGGTTTTTTTTTTTTTTTTTTGAAAACCCGTTTCTCAAACATAATCGGTCTTTAAATAATAATAGTGCTCTGTAATTCGGATTCATTGTTTGTGGAATTTTGCCAAATTTGTTGTCGAAAAATTATCATTCCACGACACTGCGATACCAAATAATTTGTTGGATTTTGATTGGATTATTCGGATATTCGGTTCGAGAAAAGAAAAAAAACTAAAATTGAAAATGGTGTACATCTTATTATTTAAAAACGATCAATAAGAATGGAATACCTCTTTTCTTTTCTTTTCTTTTCCCTTTTTTTCATAAATGCAAATTAATCTAATGATGGAACGCAAAACATTTTCGTATTTTTATCAAAACTTGATCGTTCAAGTAATTCTGCATCTTTTATATAGAAAACATTCTTTGTAAAATTTACAAAGATTTTTTAATTTTAATAAATAACTAATGTCATTCGGCTGGTCTCAATGACATTTAATTGATATTACTATATAAATATATAAGACAATTTTCGTCAAGCAATATGATAATGATCCTTGAAACTCTAAGTATACCAATATTCGTGAATAAAAAAAGGAGTATTAAAAGAAAAAAGAAAAAAATATTTAACTTAAAATTGCGTTTTAATTGTGTAAATCCAATAATCACCTAATATTTGTTTTATAGAAACTTTTATTGCGATAAACATCCTTGGAAGATAATGATTTCCCATTTTTTTGTAGAGGTAGAACGTCAATAGAGGTATTTCGAAAAGAAGCCCGAAATCATGTGATCTGAAATTGCGAAATTTTTGACGAAAAAAAATTGATTTTATATTTTGGAATAAGATTTAGTAAAAGTTCTACATGGATTCCTAACGCATCTTATATGCATTTTTGCCTTCATTACAAGTTTACTTAGGGAGAAATGGATGTTTTCAATACAGTTTTCTTTGTAAAGTAATTATTATAAAATACAATATGTAAGTTAAAAAATGACATTTAAGACCCTTTTGACCCTAAACAAACTTGTAGAGCAGGCAAACATCTCTATAGAAGAAATGCTTGAAGAAAAATTTTTTTATTAAAACAACAAAATTTCACACGATTTCGCATTGAATGGTTGGGGAAATCGTGAAATTTTGGACTAAATCACGTGATTTGATTTGTTAATAAGTATGTGGCTTTTTGAGGTTGATCAAGTTACTTTTATTTCAAAACATTAAACTTGACAAACACTAACTCCAATAGATGACTCCAAAGCATCTTATTTAATCGAAGAAACTTAACGTAAACATCCTAAACTCTTTCATCGCATACAGAATGGCAGCAAAAAAAGAAAATTTGAACAATTTTAAGGTGAGGTGGGAAATGGAGAAGTCTGTTTTAGATTCATGGCGTTCTCAAGCACCTAACTCAATTGATCGGAGAAATAATTTTATTAGTGGAAATTAATTTAATCACTTATCATTTCAATGAAAAAACTTTTAACTATGTTTTCAAACGAAATCTTGAACAATGTTTGATATCACAGCTACAAAGAAAAACCCTACACACAGTGGAGAATAGATATAGTAATTGGGAACATTTCTTTGAGACACATTCTGATACAACGATGAAGTGGAAGCTGATTTTGGTGTTAGTATCATAGTAAGCATAAAAAATTTTGAAGGATTTTAAGATATGGTGGTTGAAGAAGAGTAAAGAGAGTGGGAGGAACAGACTACATTTCCCTCCCACGTTATCTATTAATGATCTAATCGTTACATCCATTTGCAAATGCTGTTGAAATTCTCAAAATTCTTTCATCGCAATCGAATAGCATTGCATAGAGAGTATCGTAGTAAGCATAAAAAATTTGAAGTATTTTTGAGATGTGAAGGGCAAAATGAACACACTACACAATTTCAAAACTGATACGATCAAAATAAGTATTTATACGGCAACGATACATCTACCTATTGAAAATTGTCTAGCGGGTTTTTTTGCCTACAATTTCATTATCATTTATTTAATTAATTCTCTCACACTTTACCTATTGATGATCTAATCTCAACCTAACAATAGATGATCCCATTGCTAATAAATCACAATTTATTTTTTGAAAATGAACACTTCATTAATTATATTATTTATTAAATTTTTTTTTTGGAGAAAAAAAAATCGCTTTTAGTTAATTAACTCGAAATAAAAAAAATAACATTTGTTTCTATATATTGAAGTATGATGTGATTATACAGGAGGTGACTATATAGGGGTCGACTGTTGACATTTGAACAATTTATCTTTTAATTAATTGAAAAACTTCAAATTCTTCAGCCGAAAATAAATCAGGATTATTTCTAATAGCTTCTTCATACCTATAATGAACACATTGACAACAATCAGCATTAAAACTTCCCCAGGCTCTCAAGTCATTCCCTCCCCATTGAGGTCCACAATTCGCATAACTGTAAATAGCGGTGTCAACTTGATGATTTCTGACCCTACTTAATTTAAACCCATTGTTTACATCAAAACTTTTACCTTCGTTCATACTTTCAAAACTAAATATAAAACTTTCACTGGTAGATTTATACCCACTCCCATTCCAATTCAAAGGATTATATCCGCCTAATATTTCTTTTGTATCTTTAACCCTAAGTACCGTCACTGTTTTATCAAAATTATCGCATTTTTTATGAAACTCTGCTGCTGTAAAACCATCACGAGTTGAACGGAGCAACAATCTAAATTGATAAGGAATTGATGCCAATCTATAGGGGTGAGATGTTCTATCAACCCAGCTTGCAATAAATGCTGCATGTTTCAAGTTAATTATGAATGAATCTATTGGAGAAGGACGAGAAGGTTGTAACAAATGACCATAATTGATTAAATCTGTATTAACGGATGAAGAAGATTCTTGATTATTATTATTATTGTTGTTGTTGTTGTTATTGTTGTTTCCAAGTCGTTGAATTCTTTCTCTCGTATTGATGTTTAATATTAATACGTCCCGTTGTTTTTTATTCTCTTTCTCTTTTTTATTTAAAAGGCTCTCAAACATAACGTTCCTTGGATTAATAAATTTCCATAAAATTTCTTCATATAAATCTTCGGGAAATACTTTCTTTAAAGGTTTAATTTTGACAAAAAATTCTTCTGGGGAAATATCACCAAATCTTACAAATTGAATACAATTCTTTAATCTTTCCCTTAAAATTTCATACTCTTCGTCACTCCAATTTTCAACTATCTGACTAATCATTTTCCCTTCATCATATTCTCCTAAACATGGTTCTTGATTTATTCCCCATGTTAATATCATATCCCAGACTGCAATTTCTTTCATCACTAAATCATCTCGTTGTAATATTCCCGATAGAATTGCCTCAGAATAAGAGAGAAAATTTGGTGATGTTAAAATCATTGAAGGATTTGGACAAATATGATCCAAACAAAATTCTTGTAACCTTTTCCATGGTTCATGTTGAAACGAGATTATTAAAATATCTAAAAAATTTTCGTTTAAATAAGTAGAATGATGTAAAAGAAATTGATTTTCCACGTATGAAATCATTTCTAGAAGGATCAACTCATCTGCCGCGCATAATAAATCGATAATGAACGAAGGTGATCGCTTCTCAAGTGATACTATTGTCCCCGTATACAAGTATCTATATAATGCGAAAAAAGGTAAGTAACGCAAAATTGATAAAGATTATTTGTTTTTATATTAAATGATAAGAATAATAATAATAAACTTGCCTAAGAACGACTTCAAAAACCTCCGAATCAAAGTTTGGTTTATCAAAAATGATGTTATCACCTTCTTTCTTTGCCCAATCATTTGCTAATCCGGCATTAAAATAAGGACATTGAGCTTTTAATATTATAGAATGAGCTCTAAAATTTTTAATATTATCATCTTTCCCTACCCTAATAATAACATTTGATTCATCCGGTGAATTAAAATATTTTAAAAAATTTTGTGAAAAATTTGGAAATAATTCAATCGTCATTTTTTTTTTTTTTTTTTAATTGCAGCTAGTAAAATATTAATTTATACACAAAATGCACAGTCCGATTCAACGATATGGTGAAAATTTATCCGAGATTATGGTTTGACCATAATAGTAAATCCATTTATCGTAGTTTATCGTAGGGTATGACAATTTTGTAGTTTTGGTAATTTTTAATAATGACCCGATCTTAAGATAATTGCGACTCTATAGCTAATGTCCCGATTCTTTTATCTGATTATGATTTTTCGAAATCCGCACATGAATCTAAGAGCAAAGCCTAACGAAATATCAATCACTTACTGATGATCTATGGCTTAATTCATTTTTTTTTTTGATCTTTCATTTACGCACGTTTCTTTAATAACAAATGCATTCTTGACGGCCGTGGTTTAGTGTACGCAATTTATGAGTCGTTCAAATAAAAAAAAATGACGAAAGAATATACAGTTTTGGAAATAATGCGAATAAAATCATTTTCTAAAGCGAAAGCGTTTATTCTTTAGATAGTCAGGTCGCTAAAGTGATATTTAATATGATCTCTATCATTTTTGTTTTTTTAAGGTTAATATTTAAGTGTTGATTGGTAATTTACATGTGTAGAATATATGCGAACAATCAATGTAATAAGGCTAATCTAAATACGATATTGTGCCTGGGTCGGGTGATACCAAGAAAAGCAGTGTCACTGATATGCTTGACCAAAACAAGAGCTGCTTGTGTTACAAAAAACTGTTGAAAGTTTAATCTATCGATTGGGTTAACTTCGCGATTAACAATCTGGATTATGACTTTTCTTAGGCACTTGACGAATGTTGGTAGAACATCTATAACAAAAAATGTCATTGCACGTTCCAGACCTTCAAATATTACTGGACAAATCCAACCGCATTCTAACCTTTTGTTTAACAAGAATGTTTTAAAAAGGAATTTGGCTTCAGAGGTTGAAAAAAAGAGAATGCATGATCCATACTCTGTTGCTATAACTAGTCCTATCACCAGCATTTCTCCTGATGATATTGGTCCTCAGCTTGAAAGTAAGTATTTTTTTTTGATTAAATGTTTTACATATTTACTTTTGAACTAAACAATAATCATTTTAAAATCTCAGAATCAATTCTTGGAGAAACGACGGATGATCTTATCGGTAATTAAGAATAATCGCACTTTAAACTTCTTTTTATGATCAAAATAAAAAAATCGAATTTTTTAAAAAATTTTTTCATAGATTCTGGCGATCCACAAGAATTAAAAACACAAGGGTATACAATTAATTTTGGTCCGCAACATCCAGCAGCTCACGGTGTTCTCCGCTTGATCCTTACATTAAAAGGAGAACAGATCCTTAGGGCTGATCCTCACATTGGATTATTACATCGTGGGACGGAGAAATTAATTGAATATAAGACTTATTTACAAGCTTTACCTTATTTCGATCGATTGGATTATGTATCTATGATGACAAATGAACAAGCTTATTCATTGGCTGTTGAAAAATTATTAAATATTGAAATTCCCGAACGGGCGAAATATATTCGTACTTTATTCGGAGAAATTACTAGAATCCTGAATCATATTATGGCCTTAATGAGTCATGCTTTAGGTATTTAGACAATCTTTTCGAAAGAGACATGGATACAAGTTACTTAAAAAAGTATCTTTTTTTTATTTGTTGTTTGAAAATTAGATATCGGTGCATTGACTCCATTCTTGTGGATGTTCGAGGAGCGAGAAAAGGTAAAAAGATTATTTCTTTAGATCAAAAAAAAATAATTCTCATCTTTTTAGCTCAAATTACTTTCTCTATCTCATTCAGTTGATGGAATTTTATGAACGTGTTTCGGGAGCTAGATTACATGCAGCATATGTTCGTCCAGGTGGGGTTGCGCAAGATATGCCACTTGGAATGATGGAAGACATTTATCAATGGGCCACACAATATGGTACAAGAGTAGATGAAGTAGAAGAATTGTTAACAGAAAATCGTATCTGGAAAGAGCGCACTGTTGGAATTGGTGTAGTCACAGCTCAACAAGCATTAGATTATAGTTTTTCCGGAGTTATGTTACGTGGTTCTGGAATAAAATGGGATTTACGCAAAGTACAACCTTATGATGCTTATGATAAAGTAGAATTTGATGTACCTATTGGATCTCATGGAGATTGTTATGATAGATATTTATGTAGAGTTGAAGAAATGAGACAAAGTATAAGAATTATTCACCAATGTTTAAATCAAATGCCTCAAGGTCCTATTAAAGTCGATGACTGGAAAATCTCCCCTCCTAATAGGGCCAGCATGAAAGAATCTATGGAAGCTTTAATCCATCATTTCAAATTATACTCGGAAGGATATTCCGTACCTCCGGGAGAAACATATACGGTGATTGAAGCGCCAAAAGGCGAATTCGGAGGTAATAAATTAATCCGTTAAAAATTCGTAATTTTTATTTCATACTTACTAACTTTATGATTTACACCAACTTTTATCCTCGTTTTCGTCCATTAGTTCATTTGGTCTCTGATGGTACGTTTTATATAATGTATAATCTTTAATATATTCGTATAAAAGTTATTCTAATACGACTTTAATTATAGGCACCAACCGACCATACAGATGCAAGATTCGCGCTCCTGGCTTTGCTCATTTGGCTGGATCAGATTTTATGATTAAAGGACATCTTGTTCCTGATGTAGTTGCAGGTATTTATTTTATTATTAATAATAGCTGCTTTCAGAATGGTCGAGAAAAATTGAAAGTTTCTTAGTAATAATTTGAATTATGAATCTTTCAACGATTTTAATTTTAATAAAAAAATTTTCTGGTTTTTTAGTAATCGGTACACTTGATGTTGTGTTTGGAGAGGTTAGGAATAAATTTTCTAAATTTATAAAAATTCTTAATATTCTTTATAGAAATTCTGACAATCCTTTTTATATTTTAGATTGATCGCTAAATTTTCAATATTGCCGAGTTTGTACCATAGGAATATATATCAATCAAAAAGAGGCGATTCTTATAAACTTTTATAGTTAATTATATATTAAATGAACAAAACTGTTCGGATAATGAGCTCATAGATATACTAACATTACACAGTGATAATGATAGGTTAGTGAAAAGAAAGACCAATCGGCATGTATAGAATGCCATCCCTCTTGACTTTGTTGAGAGTACCGATATTTTATATTGAATTGGTTGAAACTTAGCCAAAAGTCATATGACAGAAAATTTTTATTTAGACTAGTGATAAATAAATAAATAAATTATTGATTTCATAATTTTCACCTCCTTCTAGAGTTTTATATCTGAGAATGTTAGAAACAAAATCACAATTAAAAAGACTCTTGAGGATTTCAATTTCATAATCAGAATTTGAAGTTTTCAAAACCATTAGTTCACCATTCATTTTACCAGAGAGGATCAATGGTATATGTATTTGATGGCTGTTGAAGGATGGAATGATATACAAAACCCTGGATACTTTTTACCTTCTCTTAAAGATTCCAGGATGGGTGATAATCCAACACAATATTTGATGCAGTAACTAAACACACCAATATGTGAAGTCCTGCTTTATCTGTAAGAAGAGCTGTCGGGATCTGCTAACCAATAAATTCGGAGTTTAAGTTAGTTTTGTTGATCCGAATTTTGACTTGATTTGGTATAAGGAAGAAGACCTCCTTTGAGTTTGTATGCAGGTTAACCATTGATTTTAGGACACGTTTACTATTGGGCTTGTTATCCATCATTTTAGAACAATAATAGATATTAGCGGACCATTGCTGTGTTGGTAGTTATAATATATTACAACAATCTCCATTAAGGTTTCCGTTTTCTCAAAGCCCAAACTATTTTGGGCAATTTGGGCTTATAAAAAAATAATTTTTGCCCAAAGTGTTTCAGCAATTTCGGTTACTAAAAGAAATAGTTAAGACAGCTAACATATGTTACCACTTTTTAAGTTATTTTGAGTGAAGATATCTAGTTCACCTGGATTTGATTCCTTTAATTTGTTCTCAAATGATTAGCTTAAAAAGCAAAAAAGAAATAAAGAAATTTGACATTTATTGTTTTTTAAACATTATAAGATAAATTTATAACAATACTCACTTTTCATGAAATTAGTCGACAACGTTTAAGGATCTTGAGAGGAATTTCTGTTTTGTCATGACAATCCTCTAGACTGGAATAAGGACGTTTTTTGATAATGCGATCTGCATATTTACTTCCAATACCATCAATTCCAGAAAGCCAAAAACGTGGTGCAGAATTCAAATCAGGCGGTTCCAGAGCAGCATATGAAAATGCACGATCAGCAAATGGTCCAAAATATTTTTTCCAATTTTCTTTATGTACTATACCACAACGTGGACTAGGCAATTGCAAAGAGTTAATATCACAATTTCCAGTTGTGATTAATAGAAAGATATCTGCTGGCCCTGCTGCTTTATTATATTCTTGCATATAATCTTCAAGAGAAATTTTGCTCTTTGCTGACAACAATTTGGTTTGAAAAATCTCATTTATCCAATTATATGAGGGATATTCTTGTATACAACAAAAATAATCACCCGCAGGTGCGCCAGTTCCATTCAAAACAAGATGACAACCTTTAGTAACATCTATAGTACCATACACATGTTTCACTTCCTTCACAAATCCATATTTAGTATCCACTCGTTTTGATGAACAAATTAACTCCAAATGCTTTGGAATTAAAGTTACATGATCAGTAAACTGCACACCTGAATGAATTTTATTAATTGACACAGATTGCTGATCTGCAAATATATTGGATTTTAGAACTCGAAAGTCCGAAGCAAACCGTTCAAAATTCTGCCATGATTGTGCACTTAGAGGTATTCTGTCTGAATGATGATAATTCTGATAAACATCAAAAACCCAATTAGCAAGAATATTATCATCTTTGCTAGCACGAGCAATTAACCAGATCCAAACATAAGGACATGAAAGAACACCAATTGATTGCTCTGGTTCAACTTCATAACGTATAATTCCCATTTCTGCAATTTGGTCAGGTCTCCATGGTGTTCCAGGTACAATTCATTTTTGCGTATTGGAATATGTCCCAAAATTGCTTTCAAAATTGCCCCATAAATGAGATGAATTATCAAGTACATCAGAATATAATTGTGCAATATCAGAGATTATATTATGCATAAGTTTCCCAATATAACAGTTATCAATGTCAGCGGGAATATGTATTTCTAATGCTTCAAGCGCGCGACCATTACCACCCATATCTTCAACTAATATTCTAATCAAGGGATGCTCTATGTTAAATATGTTTTTTCCATCACGTTGAGGAGGGTCAAGGACATGGAAAGGAAGTAAAACACGCAATTGTTGGGACTTGGCAAGAACATCAACTATTGGTTCTACAATGGTAGCTGAACAACATGCAATGATAAAAGCTGGATGACCTATTACCATTGAAGCAATTGTTGAGAGGCAACTATAGAATATACTGGATTTGTTAAAGCCATCATTATCTGAGTTCATTAATTTCTGGATACCATCAATTATCAGAAACACTGTTAATTCAGAAACTTACTGTCCTTTATAAGATATTCGACTCAAAACATCTGAGACCGAAAGATGATGTGCAGGATTTTGTCGGAACTGATTAAAGTCTAATACTGATTCGTGTTGTCTTAATAATTGCCATAACATCTGAATACCTATAGCTTGCAAAGCAATCTTTTCACAATTTCCATCATAAATTGTGCCACTTTCAAAGCTAACATTGAATATAATGCAATTATCTAATTGATGTTTTACATATAAATTTGTAACTGCAGATTGAGCTATTCTTGGAAGTTCAGTTAATAGTCTTGATTTACCAATTCCTGCACCACCAAGAGCAAGGAACAAAGGACTATTAGTTTTGTCTCTACGATTTGTCTTGTAATAATTATAGAATTGGGAAATATTCTGACGTAGCTTATGAATCAGTTGGGTTGCAGGCCAGCTTGATCCAAATGATTTTAATAAACTGAGTGGAGGCTGATATTCAAGAATTTGAGGTAGTGTGTCTTTTATTAAGTTTCAGAATGACATCATAGGTCCATTTTTTCATAAGAAATGTTTAATGTGTAAGAAATAAATGAAATGAAATAGAAAGTAATGTTAAAGTTATAAATAGTATACCAAGTAAACAAATAAAATAACGAAACGGAATGAATGGAAAATAATTTTTTGCATATTTTTTTATGCAATTTGCTCATTACCTTTCCCTCCAAAATTCACAAACGCATCCTGCAGCTTCACCACTTGCTCACATCTCTCGTTTTTCTTCAACTTTTCTTTTTTCTCTCTTCAGCTCGGCTATCTTATCTTCCCACCTTCTCTCCTATTTCTCGTCTTTATATTCTCCATTATCTAACTTCTTCTCCAACTCATTCAATGTCTTCCCTTTATAATCATCCTTCTCCCACTTCTCCAACTTTTCAGTTGTGCATCTTCGTAATAAAGATTTTGTCACTCATAGTTTATTGGATGATCAATTTTTGACGTGTCGATCAGACACAAAATATTGTGTACCAATGATTACTAATTAGTTTAAATTACCATACATTCAATTTATAAACTCAAATTTTTTTATTCTAACTCAGCATTGATAAATGATTTACATAGTCTGAAACAATGGAATCAATGGAAAAATATCCAAAATATACAAGTTCAGATCATAATAAGCTTTATTTCTCTCATGGTAAGGAATATTTATAATAACAACCAGAAAGTTAGGATACAATATTTCCACTAAAATTTATTAAACAGATTTATCCGAAATTGTTGCATTATTTTCCGGTTTTCAAGTAAATTCTATAATTTCATTTATAATCGCTTCCCTTTTCGTCACTTTACTATGTTGGTGTGAAAGGTTTTTAAGTTATTATCGAGAAAATGCAAAATATGATCGAAATCAAAAAAGATTTAGATCGATCGCAAGGAGGACTTTTATTTATGGGTTGTTAATTACCCTAAGATTAATTTATATGTTATTAATAATGTCGATGAATTCACAAATATTTGTGATAGTGGTATGATTAAGTTTTCATTCGAATAATTTATTAATTTGTAAGCGAATTGATGCTGGTTTGATAAATTGCTAGGTAACGGGATTGACAACGGGACAATTAATCATAGAATATATAATCTCGATACCGTAAGAATTTTTTTTTTATAAAAAAAAAAATGTTCATAATTATCATTGACATTATCATTTTATTGCCTTAATATTGTTTATAGTTTCTATCAAGAATATAAAATTCACCCATCATCGCCAATTAAGGATGACATACCTGACAATTTAGAAAATTCTGCATTAATGAGAAATATTGAAAGTGGAAGTTACAAAGATGATATTGAAATTGGGTCTCGTAGAAATACCGATAATGAAGTTAATGATAATGAAATATGAAGTTGATGTAATAATAGGAAAAACAAATCAACATCAAGAACATGTTGAAAGAGAAATCTTTATGCGTGGTAAACATTTTTGCAATTTAATCCGGTTAAAATTTATTTTTTTCGATAATTATGTATTTACTTTAATTAATAATCTCTGAGATTTTTTTTTATTTTTTTCTCGGGGGGATTTATAATTTTATAAATTCCGGGTGAATTTACTATGTATATTTATTATATTTATTTATATTTTCTTTGTCGAAAAATAAATGAAAAAATAAAGTTTGAGCAATTTATTAAAAAATCATGATCGACACAACAATCAAAATCGGGAGATGTTTGTGTAACGCTTCTTTGTTCCCAATGTATAAGATTAAATTTAAAATTTTTCGTACTTTAAGAATATACAATTGTGGAGATAAAATAATGTCTACTCAGGAAAAAGAACAAGCAGCTGTTATTTTCGATGCAACGGAGGAAAGTAATTTATTAAACGCAGAACGTCACGATTCTTTTGAATTGAGTGACGATGACCAACAAACGTTTATACAATCAAGTGATCGACAAAGCGACGTTTTTGATTTCGACGATCATCTAATACCACTAAGCTTAACAGAAACACAGAGACGTCCTACGAATTTAGAGAAGGAAGTTACATTCTTTAATGGACTGACTTTAGTGGTTGGCTTGATGATTGGTTCTGGAATTTTTGCATCGCCTGGTCCTGTTGCATTGCATGCGGGGTCAGTTGGAATGTCGTTAGTTGTTTGGATAGTTTGTGGATTCTTAGCTTGCACAGGAGCACTTACATATGCAGAATTAGGATCCGAAATTCCACTATCTGGAGGTGAACATGCATATTTAAATCATGCATATGGAAGTTTGTTTGCTTTCTTATATAGTTGGACAGCCATAACTTGTTTAAAGGTACTTTGAATACTAGCCTTAAATTTTTGAATTTTTTTGATATTCTAATTAATTATTTCTATTGATAGCCTGGGGGCAATGCGATTATCGCAGTGATTTTTGCAGAATATATAAATCGTATCGTTTATCATTCAGCCTTTAATGTGAATCTCCCAGATGAAACTCGTGTTTGGTTAAACAAAATCGTGGCATCTTTATGCATAATAATTATTTCTTTTATAAATGCATATAGTGTTCGTTTAGCAACTAGAACACAGGACATATTTACCGCTTTGAAATTAATCACTTTGGCCGTGATAGCTATAATAGGATTTGTTGTGTTAGGTAAAGGTGGATTTACAAATAATTTTGATGGAGATGTATTTGAAGGTAGTTCAATGAGAACTAGTGACTATGCTCTAGCTTTTTATTCAGGTTAGTTATTTAGATACGCATTTCGATGAGTTTTTTCATCAGTAGTATACTCATTTGGAAACATCTAATTTAGGTCTTTGGGCGTATGATGGATGGTAAGTTTTCAATATCTAAGATTATTAATGCATTGCTTCATTTGAACCTTTCACTAAGAGTTATAGATTTCTCTCTTAAACGATATTTCGTTCAGGAATAATGTAAATTATGTTGCTGGCGAAATGAAAAATCCTGCTCGAGATCTTCCACGTGTAATAATGGTTGGTTTACCGATAGTTATAGTCTGTTATACGTTGGCAAATGTCGCTTATTACGCTGTATTACCATCATCCGTGGTCACCAAAACAAATACCATAGCATTAGTAAGTTATAATTCTTTTTATATCCAAGGTTAATCGATAATATTCAACTGTTTATTTCATTTCTTTAGGATTTTGGTAGGAAAGTTTTTGGTCCCGTAGGGGGTGTCATTTTCGCACTCTGCGTTGCAGCGAGTTGCTTTGGTGCGGCGAATGGAAGTATTTTCACAGGGTCAAGATTGATTTATGTAGCAGCTCGTGAAGGTTACTTGCCCGCTTTCTTTGGAAAGGTACATGGAACTTGGAATACCCCTACAGCAGCCTTAATTATGCAAGCAGTATTGACCATAGCAATGATAATTCCGGGAACTTTTCTGACGTTATTAAATTTTGTTTCTGTTGCTGCATGGATATTTTATTTTCTCACTTCGTTTGGATTATTAATATTAAGATGGAGAGAACCGGATCTAAGAAGGTAAGCATTAATAAATAAGTAACTATAATGATGTTGAATTTCTTCAAAATTAATAATATTTTTATTTGAAATCGTAGACCTTATAAGGTTTGGCTTAGCACTCCCATAATATTTTGTTGCGTTGCCATATTTTTGGTCATAATGCCTTTCGCACGTGTTCCGTTACAGTCACTTGCAGCAATTGGATTCATCCTTGCTGGGGTGCCATTTTGGTATATAAGAGTAAAATACAAGGAAACATTTTCAACACAAGGTAATAAATCACATTTTTTTAAGATAGCATTTGTTGTATCGACTGATCCTTAATTAATACATTTTCTAATATATTAATCCTCTCCGATAGCATTGAAGAATTATTATTCCAATCTAAATTTCAATATTAAGAGTTGGAGGTTTAGACAAGAATATCAAAAACAAGAGACAATGGAAATGAGCTGATAATATATATATGTATATATATATAATGAAATTGTTTATATAGTTATATCATCTTTTGAATCCTCCTGTAATATATTATACACTGGCAGATATTTTTTAATTTACTAGTTAAAACAAATTTTCACTTTAATTAATATAATATCCTCTTTTTTTTTTAAAAGAAAAAAAAAATAGGTATTTAAATTTCACTTTTCTAGATAGAAATAATTTATTAATGTCAAAATAAAAAAAATAAGTTTCTGATATAAAACATGCAACGACAAAATTGAGTGTAACTATCACGTGATTTCCAAAAAAAAAGACCAAAACTATTAATAACGTTGGAATTTTATACAAATAATTTTATCTATTAATATTTTTTTTCACTAAAATACAAATACAATGTTTCTTAAGAATTAAATTGTCTCCATGAAATAATTCATCTTTAATAATTATCCTCATCTTCCACCTCAATACTTACATGTCTACGAGAATTAGTCTCAGTTTTTAATAATGCTGTGCCAGATGTTGATACACGGGGAACGGGCATAATTCCTGATGAAGGATAATAATATTTCTTTTTTTGTACGAAATTGGCATAAGAATTAATCACAAGAGCAAAATAGACCTAAAAAGAAAAAAAAATGAAGTCATTTATAAACAAGAATAATTATAATCACATTAACAGAAAATAAAAACATACATGTATAAGTGCAGAAGCGATCAAAATAATTATTGCAATTGCAGATTCAGCTTTCCATGCTGGTAACGTTGAAGTTTCTAATACATTAACTGCCTCCTTGTTATTATTTAATTCATTATTTTGTTTCGGTTTTTCAGTTTCCGCCAATAATAAATGGTCCGCTATCAAATACCACCAAATTCCAAATATTAATGTAAATAATACATTTATGAATAAATCCATCCAATAAAAATGAGAATAATATCTGATAATCTTCGGATTTTCCTTTTAAAATAAAATAATGAAAAACATTTACTTTCAATATATATATAATATATTTTTTTTTAAAAAAAAAAAATAATAATAATATAAATATAAATTATAAATACCGGAAAAACGCCATAAAACAGAAAATAGGTAATAGCTATTGATACAATGATTGAATATACATATGAAATGATAGATGATGTTCCACCTCCATCAAATATTGTTGGTATTCCGAAAAATCCGGAAACTTTATTAAGCTTTGATCATAAAAAAATTAGATTAATAAAATGACAACATTCGACACAAATACACTTAAATCTACATATAAGGTTACCAAAGCAAATATAGTAATAAGAACAACACCTGATGTTAAAGAAGAAGATTTATTAATTGTGAATGCACATATGTATGAACCGAATTAATGGCATTTTTTTTTCTTACCTCGTTGTAAGTCAACGATTCCACAACAATTATTGAAATGTAACTTGGTCATTATTATTGTTAATAATATATTAAACTTTACAACAATACGTAAAAAAAAGATAATTTATTAGTAAAAAACAAATAAATCATCCGGCGAAAGGAAGCATGTTTTATCGATATTTTATAGATCTTTCTTACCTTGAAATTTATTTTTGACCAAACCTAAGAATTTGAGCAAAAAGACTATAAATATCATTATTTAAACGTCAACTTATTGACAAGTCAAGTAAGTTTTGAAGTACATGGGAGTTAATTTCCAAAAAAGAACATTAAAAAGACTTAACTGAATCTTAAAACTACAATGCGTTGTGGTTAATAAACAATTACCAAATTGAGAGCAAATAGGGACAAAAAAAAAATTTCAAAAAATGACTAAAAATAATGGCGATTTTTTCTGCATTTAGATTCGATTTATTGTGCGATATTCGGTTTTTTAATTCCAAAAAGATCATTGACATGCATAAAAATAAATTGACGATCTTTTGAACCAACCAAAAGCTTGACACTTTAATTCCGTTTCATTGGTAAATGTAACTCTTGGCAAAAGAATTACAATCTGATGAAATTTTATTCAAAACTTCTATTTTGAAGAATTTCCGATGTAGAATCATGTAAATCTTGTAACATCTTGTGACATGAATAATAATTAATATCTTGCGCCATTACTGCATTAACGATTTAAAAATGTATGATATTTTATTTTTTTTTTTGGTTTGTTTGCAACAGTGACTGACCAACTCTTTGCAATCTGTAGTAGTTGAACATATTCATTCGTTTTTATCACACTAAAAGTCGCGCTGACATCATTCACGTGATCAATCTAAACTGCAGTATTTATTTATTTTTAAGTAATTTTATTTTTAGAATCGAATCTTTGTTAACAAATACGTGAATGCGTGTGGTAATGGGAGCCCCGCAGCATCGATTGTAGTTTCAAACTCTTGCATGCCAAGATAATGCCAAGGATTTTTGAAATCTCTATTTGTGTATGACTTACCCGCTTTACAAAATAGATTGCAATAAATCTTTTCATTTTTTAAATGAAAAGGCATCCAGAAACCATTGGATTAGATTTATTACAAGAAATTCACAGCCCTTTTTGGTTTTTTTGGGCTTAACCAAATTTGACCCAGTGATGAATAACAGATTGTGTGGATGTCGATCCGATCAGTTCCTCCCATTCACCAGATCTTACCAAGCTATATAATGAAAATGTTGGCCCTATTCGGACGTGTAAGAATTTTTTTTTTGTTAGGTTAAATCGAATTTTACAATTCGCGTTACGGGCAGCGATTGTTTTTTAAAACATCCAAACAAGCTTCAACAAAGCATTAAAAATATGTGGTACACGGACAAATCTCCAACTAAGGAATACCCGTCCGTCCGCTAACGTTTTGAAATCAAGCTTTGAACCAGGTCATTCATTTGCATGCGAATACGCTTACAACATGCTTGTTTATAAATACCTGGTATTGTAAAATAAAAATAGAATAATAGAATTGCATTTTGCGCGGTGAGACAATTGTGGCACTGTTTTAAAAGACGGCTAACAAGCAAGGTATTAGATTTACTTTGCAGCCCCACAAACTGAGATAAAAATTTGTTGATAGGCGGGCGAAAAATCTATTATATTTTATTCTAATATATATATTATACTATTATATTATGTTATACATATATATATTTATATATCTAAGATTTTATGTTACAATATAAAATTATTACTACATAATATTGCATTATATAGATTACAGATAATCCTATTTAATTTTTTTTTTTTTTTAAACTTCAAAATTTAAAAATTTTTTTATATTATTGATTGGTTAGTAGATAAAAAAAAAAAAGCTTTAAAATAATATTAAAATGTGCACCTCGCCACTTTCGATAGTGTGGCCACTGATTATTGACATTTTTCTTCCGCCCAATGTTCTTCTGCGGGTATTATAAAAAAAAAAAAAAAATTTAATTTTTTTTTATTGTGTCAGTCCTTTATATAAAATAGACCGGTAAATTTGCGTGCGCACCAACGCGCTTGATTTCAACTTTAAATTAATCGTTTCACGTTTCATAATTAATTTAGAATTCATAAATTTTTATAAAAAATTATCGAAAATATTATTAATATATACCTTTAGAGCTGCCGACAGTACAGTTACAGCATTCTACAGAAGTTATACATATATATCGGTAAAAAGAATTTTCTTTGTTTACCTTTTTTCCTATTCTAAGAAACAGTGTAATCTCACAATGGATTTGATTGTTATTTTTAATGAAAAATTTTCAAAAAATTTTGATTCTTTTTTTCCTCCCTATTAGTAAAACGTAATATATTTTAACCAATATGGATGTTGCTTCAATATGTTCTTTACCTCCAATCGAGAGAATCATGCCCTCTAGCGCGTCTTTTCTAAAGACGAGTACGGCTTCAAATACAAATTCGGTCGAATCATCTAAAAATAAGAGCACTTTACCTTCAATCTCGTCGCTTTTACATCCTATATCAAAACCTTCGGAAAAATCATCTAAGCAACAAGATAACCCTACCGCGTTATTAAGCCAACCTTATTTACAATCTAAACTTAATTCTGTGGATAAGAATTCCGCTAATAATTCACCTTCGCTTTTAAATCTTCGTTCTTTATCCTTGGAATCTCCAGTAAGATCACAACCCACTCATTTACACCCTAGCCCTCCACTCACCACTCCAAGTTTGAGTAGATCCAATTCGAACCTTCATATCGAGCATACTAGATCGCCAAGAATTCATTCTTCATTGAATGCACTTACCTCGGAACATAGACCTTCGCCACCAGAGTCAGTCGTAAGTTTGTCAGAACCAAAAAAGTCATATGTTTAAGAAATAAAATCCTATCTTAAAATATTTTACAAAATTTTCTCAGGCTCCATATCCAGATAATTCGTTTACATCATCGACAACGTATCAGAAATCTCAATGGCAGAGTCAACAACGTCCATCTTCAACCGAAAACGATACCACACAAATCGCCGGTGTACCTTCGAGAGATGATGATTCGAAGCAGAGTTCCGCATTAAAATTGCAACAACAGAACATGCAATATAATGCAGCTATCGCTGCCAATGGATTTCCTTCAGAATATCATCACTATCGTGCTTCCTTTGAAAAAGACGTTTATCAATCTGTTAATCGAGGGAATGAAAAAACAATGGCTGACTTGAAAAAGGTTAATCCTATTTTCTTCTTCACATTATTATTTGATGTTAACAGGGTTTGGTTAACCTTAAGATTTTTCATCATGATATGTTAGATAATTGACCATTGCGCCCTTATTAGTCAATTCGCTTCCCAGTATGGTGAAATACGCAGTCGGATTGGCAATTATCGACCGGATGTCTGGCCAATGCAACAAGCAGCCTCCCTTCCAACGGAAGCGCACGTTACCGACATGATAAATAAAGCTTTTGAGGTTCTTTACGTGCTAAATGCTTTAAAAGATGAAACAAATCGCCGTGGCCCGGTTTGTATTTTGAGATTATTTCGCTGATCGGCGTAATCTCATTATTATTGATTTTCTTTCCTTTTTTTTTTTTTTTTTTAAGACTGAAATTGATCTTATTAGAAACAAAAGAACGAGTTCGGGGATTTCTCCGGCACGTCCAAAATATCGAAAAAGAACGGTAAGTTTCACCAAATTATGGCAACATTCCGAATACCCATCTATCATTATATTAACTTTATGAAATGATTAGAAAAGACCCGCACCTCCGGGAAGGTGTCATTCATGCAACATTCAAGAGACACCTGAATGGCGACGTGGACCAGATGGAGCAAGAACATTATGCAATGCGTGTGGATTGCGTGAGTAAATAAATCATATGATGAATTTTTTTATGATAACAGAAAGAAGTCATCTAAACAAAATTAATCACCACAGATTTTGCGAAATTAACACGTAAGCGTGCGCAAATTGCAATTCAAGAGCAACAGCAACGTTTAGCTCAACAGAGAACCGCTCTACATCATCCTTACCCGTCTCCGTATTTGCAAATGTCAAGTCAAAGACATTACCCTGGGTTCCCTCAACATACCATTGCTCAAAACGGAAGCCAATTTATAAATACTACGACACCTACTATTCCCAGGGGTCCCCAGGTCGACTATTCAAGCACGACACGAATTGAAATCGATTGATTCTACTTTCGGCCCAAACTTTTATTAAGCCTTTAGACATTTATTTTTTACGAAAATATTAAGTAATCTCTAATTCAAAAGAGATTTTATATTTTATATTACTATATGATATGTAGCAATTAATTATGGTACAACATTGTATTAATATGAAAATTTTATTTATGTGTAGTAGTAAGATTTGATATTTTCCTTTTTTTTTTTTTTTTTTTTTTTTTTAAGGGCAGCAGAAAACATCGATTGTTTAATGCTTTTTATTTTTTAATATTAAAAATGATTTCTTAGAAATAGGTTATATAGATTTAAATAAATTTTAGTTTCTTTACCATAAAATGAGTATGAGTAAATATTCCCAACCATCATTATACAAAAGTGATTCACAAGTTCATTTCATTAGGTAAGGAAATCACGACAATTAAGGTTTCTTCTTTTCTCTTAAGATTTTCGAAATCAATAAAAATATTATTAAGTGTTAAAGAAAGTTATTATGATTGAAATTTGAATCACGTGTATTTCATTCAATGTTTACAAATTAATTTTCTTATACGTGTGTTTATGTGAATCGAACAAGATTTGATAAACAATCTTTTGCAAAATATATTTTTTTTTTTTCGAATAATAATTTTTCAGACTTTTGCCGCGACCTTAGTAAAAATTATAACGATAAAAAAAAATAACAATCAATCTGCTGTCAAACAAAACAGTAAGCCTGGAAAAGCCGCGAAAGATGGAAATTTAATGATGGATATTCTAGCCACTACATATTTAAACAAATATAGAAGGCTTAGTCCTAAACAAGGAGGCTTATTTCATTAGGCTGATTAAATTAATCTTTAAGTTTT